CACATTAAGATAATTGCATTCTAAGTATCAGTAACAAAGTGTACAGTTTTTGTTTGACGGCAGCAAGATCAAGTTGTATCATATCATGTGCTTGGACGTAGATACTATGGTCATCGATTGGCCAAAAAAGTCGTCTTTATTGCATTCGTTGTACCCATTTTGATCATACCTCCGTGGTTGCTTTGCGATTAACGTGGAGATCCAGAATGACCATTGATTGGTGCATTGTATACCTGAACGGTATCTGATTGGTGCTTGTCATGTCGAATCATACGAAAACGGTAAGATCACTCGAGCATCATGGTGGTGATCCAGCGCATGATCCAACATCTTCGCGCCCGCGTCAGGCTGCCTCCGTCGGCCACATCCCATTTCATTCCTCGGTCGTCAAGGAACAGTGTTGAGACTCCTCGCTCCCGTCGGGTGTCGGTGACGCGAGCTGCTGGCGTCGTGGCAGTTATGGGCTTGCTGTACGACCAAGCCACACTCATGGAGCCAAGACCGTTGACGCTGGATCGTAAGACAACGCGCCTCGTACCCGTGCAAATGCGTAAGCGCACGTCGAAGGCGGACTCTCCGCTCCTCGTGTCAGCTTCTGCTGTCCGAGGTGATCGACCGACGATGGAGGATGCACTGTTCATCGCACCAAACCGCCGTTTCACAGCGGTCTTTGACGGCCACGGCGGCGCCGACGTGTCTTCGTATCTAAAGGCGAATCTGTACGACCATATTTTGGCTAATCTCGGGCCAGCTAAGGACACGTGGAATCTCGACGAGATTGAGACGAGCTTGAGGGACGCATTCCGCACAGTTGACGCTGTCATTCTCGAACGGTTCGTGTCATTGTCTGGTTCCAATTGAATGAAGTGATACTAGGCGCGAGTGGATCGCGCAAGGATCGACAGCGACTGCAGTGCTTCTTATGGACGACTTGATATGGAGCATGAACGTTGGGGACTCCCGCGCAGTGTTGTGTCGCAATGGCCGAGCCGTCAACCTAACGCGGGACCACAAACCTAACGACCCCATGGAGCGGTCTCGAGTCGAGAAAGCTGGCGGTCGCGTTCAATGGCACGGACTTCGCGACCCCCATGGCCGCCCGATCGTCGACATGGGTGCCTATCGAATCAATTCAAACTTGGCAGTTGCCCGGGCCTTTGGCGACGGCGACCAGCGACCGTATGTGTCACGCCAACATTTCCCTGTTTTATTTCGTTGGCTCGAGTGTGTTCTGGCGTCATCGTTAGGTTCAGCATGGTTGCATCTTGCGTGTTTGGAGTGGAGCTTGAAGCCACGTCAGCACGCTTGAACAAAATATTGTCTCTTGGCATCCAGTTGGTGCCAGAACAGCCTGCATGTCGGGTGCATATGAGTCTTCAGGCGGTATTTCACGCGTGATGAGCGATACCCTGCATGTGTTTTTTTACGTTGGGCGCAATTCGACTTGCTCATGTACGTGGAGTAGGTACGTGTCGGGAGAGATGGAACTCAAATGCTTTCGACGTGACCCGAGCGACAAGTTTATTGTTGTTGCGTCTGATGGGCTATGGGACGTCTTTACCAGCGCCGAGGTGAGCATATCGCGGGCTCGTCGGAAATATAGTGGTCATGATGGGCACGATCGTGTCTCTGGCAAGGTTGTCATGTTTGTTCGAGATGTCCTGGCGGGCGAAGTGGGTAGTCGCGAGTCGTGGCGAAGCGGCAGCCACGCAGAAACGAGCGTTGAGTTGTTTGAGTGGCGCCAAATGTACAAGAACGACAGCGACATGATTCAGGCAGCTCTCGCGACGAGAAAAGAGCAAATGGCGAAGTACCTAACTCAGGAAGCGCTCTTCCGAGGCACGGCCGATAACGTGGCGGTCGTCGTGATTTGGCTCGACAAAGTCAAGTAGTTTTCAGATTCAAATTGGTATACAACGTGTCTCGATCTTGCTCCCAATTAGATCTGTAACGACATGCATCGAGGCGACGCGCGCCCTTTGCACGGGGTAGAGAATGACCACGCATATTTGGTGGTCAATAGGACATAATCGATTCTTAGTGACTCCATCATTCGTTGTAGGGTATGCCCCCGTTTGTTGATTCGATGAGGTAGGCGCGAGCTTCAACGGGCCAAGTTCGTCAGGCTGTGTTGTCGAACGAGTTGTGCACTTTGCACGTCGCCATCCCATGAGTGCGCAGCGAGGTCATTGAGCACGCCACACGGAACTGCACCTACCAAAACACCAGAACATTCGCGACGGAGTGGACAAGACGGCCGTGAAGTTAGGGCGAACGGTTTTACGCTATTCCCGGCTGCTGTCCGCCACCTTTCAGGTGTCGTGTATGGATGCCAGGTCGAATATGACGGAATTCACGAGAAAGAGACAACGAGGGCTCCCGGTGATGGAGTTCACATTGCCGCGGCGCTTGTGTCGCTGATCTTGGGCTTTTTCGACGGCAGAGGAACTGCCACAACGCGATCGAGAACAGGTAAAACTCGTACGAGATCATGGACGTGTACGTGGCATCTCGCGCTGCACGTCCGCGGTTGCATTGACCGCAATTTCCCGCTGAATTGTCATTCGAGATCGCCACGTTGCTGTTGGCCAGCTTGTACAATATCGCCGCAACTGGGCGTGCCAAGCCATTGACGGTCGTGACCAAGCCGTGCACGTCGCAACGCATCCGACACACACGTGAGAGGGAAGCTGCCATGGCGCCGACAGTGTAACTGGACACGTGATCACCAGACTTTAGGCGGTTCTTCATGCACGTGCCGTTGCGGCTTCGCTGAACTTATGCAGCTACTGTAGCGCTTGGTCCGAAGTTGGCAGCAGCTTACTTAAGCAACGCAACAGTGTGCCAGTCCAGCAGGTGGTCCAGCATGTTACGCGACTTGCGACGGTAATCCAAGGTCGGGACGCTGTCGCTGAGCCCGCCCATGTCGATCTTGACCGGCCTCGGGGTGTTTACAACTGCGCTTTACATCGTCAAACCCTTGCGAGTGGAAGTACAATTTGATGACCGGAGCGCTGGGTGGGTGCCGTACACGATCCCGATGGAGCCGCATTGCGCGAACAGCTGCATGGCTTCCGTGCTGAGGAGTGGCGCTACCAGGACAAGTGTGCCTTTTTCGGGCACCATGCAGCCCGCTTTCAGATTGTACGCAAGTGCGGTGGAGTCCATCTCAAGATCGCGAGGTAAATGCTAGCTCGAAAACGAAATGGTTGTATTAGAGTGATTTTGCTATCACAAAATTCACTGTGAAAAGTCGAGAAAGTTCTACGGCAAAATTCACTGTGAGAAATGATTTTGCAAAGTCAAAATTCTTTGTGAGGAGCATGGACGAGGAATCGGCACTCCTCACATCACTTGCGCTCCTCCTTCATGCCTGCGAGCCACACACACGAGCGATACACATACCCCAACACCGATTTAATCTAAAGGCTCAGACTGATGCAACATGCGAGTTTCACTTTCGCTTCAACAAGGCGGAGATCCAACAGCTTGCCGTGCTCCTCCAAATCCCGAATCCTGTCATCACAAAGCTGCGATACAATGCAAGCTCCGACGAGGCTCTTTGTATTCTCTTGAACCGCTTGGCCTGGCCGCACCGCTTGGGAACAATGGTATTGCTTTTTGGGCGCAGCCGCGAAGCCTTGTCGGCGATTTCAAACGAGGTCATGGGACACATCTTCAGGAAATTTGGGCACCTACTCCAGTGGGACAAGGAACGCCTCAGCCATGCGTGGATGGAAGCCTGTGCTATTGCGATTTACAAACAAGGTGCCCCTCTCGACTGCTGCATTGGATTTATCGATGGAACGGTTCGTGGAATTTGTCGCCCTGGCAAAGGCGTGCAGAAGACAGCGTTCAATGGGCACAAGGTGTGTAAGATAGTTGTGACATGTTGGAAGGACTCATGGAATTCTCGTTAGCGAAAGCATGCGCTAAAGTTTCAATGCATTACAAGTCCCGATGGGATTATTGTTCACCTCTACGGACCTGAGCCTGGCTCTCGGCATGACGCATATCTTCTTGAAAGAAGCGAGATTGTTGCCAAACTGTCTGATATTTTGGTGTCCGATGCGAAGCGCTACGTCATCTATGGTGATCCTGCCTATGGTTTAAATGATGTTGTGATTTCAGGCTACAAAGGCGCCCAACTAGACAAATATCAGCAAGCCTTTAACAGTCGCATGAGTGCTGTGCGCGTCAGCGTGGAGTGGGGTTTTGGTATTGTCCGAAACCTTTGGACATTCGTGGACCACGAGAACGGCCAAAAACTTTGGGCACAAGCCGTTGGAATGCAGTACGCTGTTGCTGTTTTATTGACAAATGTTCATACGTGCATGAAAGGCGGCAACCAAGTTTCAGATTACTTTGGAATGCCTCCCCCAAGTGCAGAAGAATATTTATACTCTAAGAGTCGTAAATATTGATTTCATTTCATCGGAAATTGTTATCAAGATGCAAGGTCAAAGTAAAAATGAAAATGGTTATCATGATTGTTTGCTCATTACAAAAGACTTTAGAACTTCGAGCGCTCCTTGCATAAATTCTAATTGAGCTTCACGTTCCCGGCGCTCAAGCGAAAATCGTGCTTCACGTTCTGCCTTGTCAAGCTCGTATCGCTTCTCCTCCAACTC